CTAGTTAGTTGTGGAATGGGGCCATTTATATGCCAGAGGAAGGCACACCTGCAGGGTTTTTTTTTTTTCATGCAACTCTTTGATGCAATACTCAAGAACTCATGAGGTAAGGAGTAAATCCACCTACGTGGTAACAGACACTCCATGTGGTCTATTCAACTAATGCCTCAGGATCAGAATGGATAAGAAGTAGTCTTTGCACCATGGTATGACTCAATCTCAATCCCCATACCTAAGTGGCATTGAAATCAATCCACTCCACTCTATTACAGATTATCTGTAAATGCTGTATGTCTTTAGCTTGGACAATATCCAAGGAAGAGAACCTATTAATGTCAACTGTGCCAAGCACTACAAGTTATTTAGGTTATTTAGTACCCCAGGCTGTATTTCAGAGGGTATGTGGATATATTCTCCAGTGAGAGAAGAGCAGCCATGAAGAATTTGCCCAAGGTATACTATTGATAAGTAGAAAAATCTAAGATAAAGTTTGTCTTTAGCAGTGTGACTGGCAAACATCAAAAGAATAAAAGCGACGCGTGCTGGCACGAAAATAGGACAGAGACTGTCACCCACTGCTGGTGGGAATGTCAACTAATTTGACCTTTTTAAAAAAATAATATGAACAGTTCTCAAAAAAACCCAAGGTTTTAGCTTCCATAAGACCCAGTAGTTCCACTTCCTGTCATCTACCCCTAGGGCCCAAGTATCCAAAAACTGCACTCCCTGCACTCATCTGCACTCTCATTCATTGCAACACTAGTCACAATAGTCAAAATATGGAAACAATCCAGTGATCCCCTCAGTATATTAGGAGTTTTTCCTGAGCACAGAGCAAGGAGTAAACCCTGAGCTCTGTTGGGTATGACCCAAACCTCTTTCCCACTCCCACCCCTCAAAAAGATAAAATCATGCAATTTGCAGCGGCTAACTGGGTGCAACCGGAGAGTGTAATACTGAGTGACTTGAGGCATAAGAAGAGGAGCAGATACAGACTGACCTTTCATGGGGCTATAAAGAAACAGTAAAGAAATAACCAAAGGCCAAAGGCAACAGAATCTGAGAAATGACTTATAGGACTGAGCATATCCCAGTGGGGGCTTGGGGAGATGTATTTTGAGGAGGGACACTGGCTGAAGGTATGGTGTTAGAACATGCTATGTACTCAATCCTATTGTTAATAGTATTATAAATCACAGTGCTTAAAATGTTTTTTTAATGTTTTTTTTTAACAGTTGTAGACTTACAAACTTTTGTGCTTGGGTTTCAATTATACAATGATCAAATACCCATCCCTCCACCAGTGCCCATTTTCCACCATCCATGGGTCCCAGTATCCCTCCCACCCCCATCCCCCCCATCCCACCCTGCCTCTGTGGCAGGACATTCCCTTTTGTTCTCTCTCTCCTTTTGGGTGTTGTGATTTGAAAAAGAGGCAATGAGTGGCAATCATGTTTGGTCTATACTTTCAGCATGCTTCTCCCATCCTGGGAGGATCCTCCCAACACCCTTTGTTTGGTGGTCCCATCTCTATCTGAGCTCCCTTTTCCCTTAGCATGTGTGGCTGGCCTCCGAGCCATGGAGCAAAATTCCTGGTACTAATCTCGGCCATTCTTGGGTGTTAATCTCCTATTTTGTTGCTTTATTTATTTTTTTTGGTTTTTTTAAAATTTTTTAAATTTTATTTATTTATTTTGTTGCTTTATGTTCCCCAGATGAATGCAATCTTTCCATATCTATCCCTCTCTTTCTAACTCATTTCTCTTAACATGATACTTTCCATGTAGTACCACTTGTATGTAAATTTCATGACTTCCTCTTTTCTAACAGCTGCATAGTACTCCATTGTGTAAATGTACCAAAGTTTCTTTAACCAGTCATCTGTTCTCGGGCACTCAGGTTTTTTCCAGATTCTGGCTATTGTAAAGAGTGCTGCAATGAACAAACAAGTGCAGATATCACTTTGACTATACTTTTTTGCCTCTCTGGAATATATTACCAGGAGTGGTATTGCTGGGTCAAATGGGAGTTCAATTTCTAATTTTTTGAGAATCTAAATTTTTTTTAGAAAAAGTTTAAAACTTAAAGCTGGAGCGATAGCACAATGGGTAGGGTGTTTGCCTTGTGCACAGCCGACCCGGGTTTGATCCCCAGCATCCCATATGGTCCCTGAGCACCTTCAGGAGTAATTTCTGAATGCATGAGCCAGGAGTAAACCCTGTGCAATGCTGGGTGTGACCCAAAAAGCAAAAAAAAAAAAAAAATTTAAAGCTTATGTATTTTATATTATACTATACTAATAATTTGTCTTTTTTCATTGTTTTTTTCCACTAACATCTTTGATGGCATTAAAATATACTTCTCGGCAGAAGGGAGCACCAAATAGAGGGTGTTGGGAGGATCCTCCCAGGATGGGAGATGCATGCTGAGAGTAGACTATAGACTGACATGACTTCCACTCAATGCCTCTTTTGCAAACCTCAGCACCCAAAAGGAGAGACAGAACAAAGGGGAATGCCCTGCCACAGAGTCAGGGTGGGAGGGGCAGGGGGATGGGAGGGATACTGGGATCAGTGGTGGTAGAGAACGGGCACTGGTGGAGGGACGGGTATTCGACCATTGTATAACTGAAACCCAAGCACAAGAATTTGTAAGTCTACAATGGTACTTCATGGTGTTTCACTAATAAAAATTTAAAAATAAATAAATAAAATATACTTCTCGGGGCTGGAGAGCACAGCGGGTAGGGCGTAATTCCTGAGTGCGTGAGCCAGGAGTAACCCCTGTGCATCGCTGGGTGTGACCCAAAAAGCGAAACAAATAAATAAATAAATAGATAAAATATACTTCTCACAAAATCATCCAACTTGCCATTACATGGAAAAAACTGGAGACTTCAACTCATGCTGAGTGAAGCCAGCCAGAAGAAGAGAGGCAGACCCAAAATAATCTCTCTCATAACTGGAATATAAAACCCATAATAAGGAAACAACAAATGACCCAAGCAACAGATGCTAAGATCCCTCCCACAGAATGGAGCTTTCCAGGGCAAACCCCAACACAGACAGAAGGAAATGGCATGAAGGAAATGGGTGGGTCTGGTGTCCAAATGTTTTATGCAAGAACTCCTACTTTTAACAGTATAGAAAACCATAAAGCCCAGTGGCTAAAATCTTATATATCAATTTTTTTCCATAAGTATCCTTGGAAACTAAGTGTATAGTTTGCTATGTGATAAATGAGACAGCCAATGCCTCTCAAGGAGAAAAAAGATTTTTTAAAAGAGCCAGAAGTGGAGTGCAGACCTCACCTGAGTGAGGGCATGGCTTCAATCCATGGCAACACAAAAAGGAACGTATTTTTAAAAGACTGTAGGAAAGAAACTCAGACACAGCAGAGCCCACTTGGATCCTCAGCACCACCTAGGATCACCTGAGCACCACCTGATGTGATTCTTGAGCACAGAGCAAGCAGTAACCCCTGAGCACTGCTAGGTGTATCCTCTGCAAAGGAAAAATAGCACAGGCCATTCAACATAATATATTGCTGGGAGACATGAAAATATTGTTGGAGGAAGTTTTAAGGATCATGTTTTAGTGAGATTACAAAGGCTTAAATTGTCAACACCTCTTCCCGACCCTTTCTCTCCCACTTTTCATTGCTCTTAATCCATGACCAGCTTTCCTGTTGCAAACTTTCCAACTCATTTTAAGTTAGCTTATCTCCTTAGTCTTAGAGATATGCCATCTTCTGCTTTCCACTTCCAATATCCGAGTTGTGGAAACTCCTCCGTTTACAGATCACCAGACCCGTTTGTTCAGGTTAAGTTGTCTTTCAGGTTAAATTGTCTGAGGTTTGTTTCTGGAAGTGACCATTCATCACCAGAGGCTTTGGCACTCTTGATGACTTTCCCCGTGTTGGACTCCAAGGCTTCTGAGTGAGATATTGTCCCGTATTTATTCCTACACACTTGTATCATCAACCCTCCTTCTTGTTGTCAGCAGGCCAGGGTTTTGCCCCACACTTAGCTGGAGTGCTCACGTGTCTTTAGTTGTGGTGCTTCCACACAAGCTTACAGGGGCCACTCTCATTGTGGCGATTATGTTCGTTCTGGTACAAGTGTGTAAGTCTGCAACTGTATCACACGGGGATTCAATTTAAAATAATAATAATAATAAAAGGTTCCAGTTCATGCTACACATGTGGAAGCTCCAGATTACATACCAACACGATGTGGGGTGACCTCCACCCCCCCTTCCCCACACACACACACTCCTGCCCCATCACTTCTTGAATTTGGTTAGTAAAGGTTCAAGTTATGGTAAAAGCATGGAACTTCTGCGCACTGGATGGGCAAACGAATGAGGGCTGCATTGCTTCCTCTCCTAACTTATCCAAGCAACGCTGGGCCCTGGCAGTGACTCTCCGCAAAGGAATAAGTCCTTGCCCATAAGTGACTTAACTGAGCAGGCAGATAAATTGACATTAGTAATGAGTGACTGTGTACAAAGCCGCGTGCACGGCCAAGGGATGGAGCGCCTTGGAGTTCGCTGGGGCCACGGCAGGGGTGGGGTGGGGGGAATCAGTGAGCTAGGAGAAGTGAAAGGCAAAGCCAAGGGGCTGAGCCTCGTGGCAGGAAGCCACAAGGTCCTGCAGAGCCCTGGAGCAAGTGTGAGCGGCACCGGAAGGCAGCGCGACGAGGAAGATGAGGGCCCTGGTGAGCGCGAACGAGCGAGCTCCGAGAACGGAATAAGGAGGGCCGGGAGAGCGGCCGCGCCTCCGAACTACAACTCCCAGGAAGCCGCTTGCGAACTACAACTCCCAGAAGGCAAGGCGGGGCGCGAGCGGGCGCCGCGGGCTGGGCGGGGGCCGCGGCGCGGGTGGGCGTGGCCGCGGCGCGCCGCCCTGTCGTCATAAGGCGGCCGCCATCTTCCCGGCGGCGGCGGCGGCGGCGGCGGCGGTTCTGTGGTGGACGCGCGCGCGCGCGGAGCAGGGCGGCGGGGCGGGCGGGCGGGCGGCGGTGGGGCCTCGGGAGGCCTCGGCCACCCGGTCATCGTCTCGGGTCCCGGCGCGTGGCCTGCGGAGGGGGCAGCAGCATGTCCGCGGAGGGCTCGGAGGCGGCGTCCGCCGAGGAGCAGAAGGCGAGTGTGGCGGGAGCGGCCGGGCCTGGCGGGGCCTGCGCGGCGCGGGCGGGCGGGCGGGGGGCGCGGCCCGGCTGCGCGGAGCGGGCGGGGCGCTGGCGGCGTCTCCCCGCGCCCCCGGGCCGAGCCCCCTGTGGGAGACCCTGGGCCGGGAGTCCCGCGCCGGGCGCCCCGAGGTGCGGCGAGCCGCGGGCGGGGGTGGGGGCGCCCCCCGGGGGAGCGGAGGGTGGGTTTCCTCGCGCCCTTGGCCGAGGGGCCGGACCTCGGCACGCGCTTTGCAGCGGGGGGGTGGGGGGGTGGGACTCGGGTCCAGCCCGACTCGAGGGGCCGCCACGCCCGCGGACTGGGCCGGCCCGGAGGTCCCCGGGGATCGTTGAGCGCGTCGCCACGCCCTTCCCGGGAAGCGGGACGTCGCGGAGAAGTGGGGTTGGTTTGTTGGCCGGCTCCAGACTTCCGCTCCGAGCGGTGCTCGCGGCCCTCGCGTCGCTGTTCCGCACTCGATCCTGATGTTCTTACCCGGGAAAGTGTCTCCCCCCCCCCCCCCCATGGCAGGATTCGGTTACGACCAACCAGGTGCTGGGCCCTGGGGCGCGCAGCAGGCTCCCAAAAAATAAGCCAACTTGGGGCTGGAGCGATAGCACCGCGGGGAGGGCGTGTGCCTCGCACGTGGTCGACCCGGGTTCGATTCCCGGCATCCGCCAGGAGGAGCCCCTGTGCGTCGTCGCCGGGTGTGACCCAAAAAAGCAGTGTGTGTATGTATATGTATATATATATATAGAGAGAGAGAGAAACAATTTATCGCCTCATTCAGGTATATATGCCTGTCTCTCATCTTTAACACTTGACCAAGAAAAATGTCAGCTTATTGCAGTATTATGTTTGTAACCGTTATTTATTGTTTACGATTTTTATTTATTTATTTGTTTTTTGCTTTTTTGGATCACACCTGACGATGCTCAGAGGTTACTCCTGACTCTGCACTCAGGAATCACTCCTGGCGGTGCTCAGGGGACCATATGGGATGCTGGGAATCGAACTCGCAATCAGCCCTGTGCAAGGCAAACGCTCTACCCGCTGTGCTATCGCTCCAGCCCCCCCTATTTATGATTTATGGTTTATGAACCCGGCAAGGGGAGGACACCAAATAATGTCTGTGGTCTTGTCCTAAATAGAAGATTAATCTATTTGACCTGACGAATGCATTAAGTTCTCTGCTGGTAACTTTCTCTTACGGATTTTGTTAGTATGTGGGCAGAGCGGAAGGAGTTGACTTCTACAGCAGAGTTTAGATAGTTTTCATGAGGGTATGGCATTAGAAGATTAGTATAGGGTTAAGTTGCTGGCCTTGCATTGGGACTGGGGTTGGATCCCCAGCACTGCCAGATCTCACCCAAACTCCACCTGGCCCCAAACATTTGGTTTTAGCACTGCAGTTAGGACCCAAGCATGCATTAATCATATAATATAATAAAGGGTACTTCTTGAAGTAAGGATTGTTGTAGATATGAAGTTCCAGGTTTGTGGATAATTTCCCCCCAAACATGAGAATTTTCAGATCCTGCGAGCTAGATCTCCTGCTAACTAACAGTTGGGAAACTCCAAAATTGGATTATTGCCAATAATTTCATTTAATTCAAAATGTTAGACAAAACACCTTTAGTTTTGTTTTGCCTAGCCTATTGTCTCTGAAAACTTAAGGTAAAAAGGAAAGGCCTGGGGGCTGGAGCGATAGTACAGCTGGTCGGGCATTTGCCTAGCATGTGGCCCACCCTACCCCGTTAGATTCCCAGCATCCCTTATGGTCTCCTCCCCCCCACCCCCCCACCCTGCACTGCCAGGAGTAACCCCTGTGCATCGCCAGGTGTGACACCCCCCCCAAAAAAAAAAAAAAGGAAAGGCCTGTATGGAGTAAGAACTGAGTCTGTATTTCTTTAGCTGAGTGAAGTGATCCAATATGGTTCCAATGGGAAAAAATTCTCTGGTTGGTTTTCCTGATTTGTATGACACCACACACTCTCTCCCTTCCTGCGATCATTTCTTTCCCACCTACGCGCCAACTTCCCAGTGTTACTGGTCTCCGAAATCAGTAGTATGTCTAACCAAACCTCCCTGCTGTCTTGAGGGGCACCCAGACAGATAGTACAATGGGTAGGGTTCTTGCCTTGCATGTGGATAGTAGGGTTCTTGCCTTGCATGTGGAAGGCCCTGGGTTTAATCCCTGGCATCACATATATTCCCCAAAGCCATGCCAGAAGTGAATAGAGCCAGGAGTAAGTCCTGAGTACCACTGGTATGGCCCCACCTCCCCTGGGCGTGCTGGGCAGGGTTCCTTCTGAAGGAAGAGCACTGCATTCCTGTAACTATTACACTCTGTAATAGACTATTGCGTTTGCTTGTTCTTGTCTGTCTTGCTCTTTGGTAAGTTCTTTTACAGCTCATCCCTTGAGCCCCTCAGAGTCCAGTTAAGTGCTCCTTAATTTTGGCGCACAATGTTTTTTGTTTTGTTTTGTTTTTTCTTTTTGGGTCGCACCTGGCGATACATGGGTTACTCCTGGCTCTGCACTCAGGAATTACTCCCGGCTGTGCTAGGGGGACCATATGGGATGCTGGGGATTGAACCCAGGTCGGCTGCGTGCAAGGCAAATGCCCTACCCACTATGCTTTCGCTACAGCACAATATGGAGGCTGAGTCATTTCCCCAATTCCTTTCTCCCTTTCCCCCCCCAAACTCCAGATGAGAGAGATGGTCCTGAATTTGCTGGAGATTGAGGATCAGGGTATCATTTTCGAAGCCTGGGAGATAGTGGGTTTCGCCCTTGAGTGGAAGGGGCAGGAGAACTCTCTCATTTCATCTCGGGGAAGACAGGATCTCCAGCAGGAATCCTAGTTGGTGCCACTCTCCAGGGAGTCTCTATATGGTTAGTCTACAGGACCTTCCCCTTGTGACTAAGGGTGCCTCTTCCCTCCTCCCCAGTCTCTTTCCTTTCCCATACAAGCCTTAATTTCCAATTGGCTATTCCTTTTCACCTCCAAACTCTTATCTTTTCGCCCTGAGTTTTCATGGATTCCTGAGAGGACTAAGTGCTTGCAAACATAGACGGGTGTCCCTACCCCGTTTCCCCTCATAATTGGGTTGGCTACAGATCAGCTCACTGTTTGGACTAGAGTTTGTCACCCCCTGCAGTGACAAACTCTTGGAGTGCCTCGGACTGTAGACATCAGACTAGTCAGTTAAGTAGTGGGACATCCAGTTGCCAAATTCTGGGCTGCTTTGATCGTTTGGGGACACTCTGGGCAGGCAGTCCAAGAATGAGCAAACCTTGCCTACCTCATCTATTCCTAGTGACTCACCTTTGGATCTGTTACCGGACTGGGATCCCATCTTTGTAAAAAGGTGCTTCGACATGCTTTTTCTGTAAGATCCCTTTCTTGTTCCATCATCTCTCAGCCAGCCTGGTTTATACGAAAGGCTCTTGTGTGTCCCCCAGGCTAGCCAAGAATGTGGGGTACAATTGTGGACTGACCTTAGAGCCAGAGATTTCTGGGTAATCTCATTTAGGTGTTTCGCTGGTGTGTGCACTTTTGTTAAAAGAATAAAACTATTATTGGAATATTAAATTTGTACAAACAAAAATATAAGCTATCATACTGGTCTAGAATTAAGATGAAAAGGCAATTACTAATTCAGAGTGGCATGTGGTATTTTGGGAAACTAAATTTTCAGTGTAATGACATAGTGATTGTTAAAGAGCTAGAACTCTTTTGGGGGGGGGTGCGGGGAGAGCACACTTGGCAGACACTCGGGGGTTATTCCTGCCTCTGCACTTAGGAATTACTCCTGGTAACTATATAGGATGCCAGGGATCGAATCCGGGCCAGCTGCTATGCAAGGCAATCACCACACCCATTGTTGCCAGTACTGGGACCTTTGAGTTATAGCACTGTCCTCCCGTTGTTCATCAGTTTGCTCGAGCGGGCATCATTAACTTCTCCATTGTGAGACTTGTTACTGTTTTTGGCATATCAAATACTCCATGGGGAGCTTGCCGGGCTCTCAGAGGAACAGAGGAATCGAACCCGGGTTGACCGTGTACAAGGCAGACACCCTACCCGCTGTGCTATTGCTCCTTTGAGTATGACAAGTTAACACTTCCATAGGCTCCCTTCTTTTGCTGGGGTGGGTGAGGGCTTAATGTGGGGCAAAGCATCTCTGGTACTTTGTGCGCCAGGGCTAATCCTGGCGTCCACACAATGCCAGGGATCAAATCGAGGCCTTCTTCATGCTAGGCATATGCTCTCAGTCACTTGAGCAAGCTCTCTGTGCCCACCCCACTACCTCCCTACCTTTTACGAGTAAATTCGGTGGTCATTTAATTGTATAAGAACATTTGGTTATATATATTTTTTCATCCTTGGCAATTAGAACAGCTGAGACTATCATAATGAAATTCAGACACAGAAATCAAATAGGGTTTAACAATATAATATAGCAATTCAAGCAATCAGGAAATATGATCATAATGATGATATTGTTGTTGTTATTATCATTTAGACTCTTAGAGGGGCTGGATCGATAACACAGCGGGTAGGGCGTTTGCCTTGCACACGGCCAACATGACCGACTGGAGTTCGATTCCTCCGCCCCTCTCGAGAGCCCAGCAAGCTACCGAGAGTATCTCGCCCACACGGCAGAGCCTGGCAAGCTACCCGTGATGTGTTCGATATGCTAAACACAGTAACAATTGTCACAATGGAGACAGTACTGGGCCCACTCGAGCAAATCGATGAACAATGGGAGTACAGTGACAGACTCTTAAAGATTTCCCACTTAATTTGTCTGTTGCACCCTTTTAAGAGGGGGTGAGGAACACTGATTCCCTTAAAGCCTGCCTTCTTTAACCAAAGAAAGAGCATCCTTCCCCAGCTGTACTTGAGACTACTGCTACCACCACATACCCCATCCCCCATCAAAGCAACCTCAAAGCAACTGCCCCTTACCC